TATGGCCTGGGAAAGCAGAAGAAGACGGCCCAAGTCCTTGAGCCCCTGTACCCATGTGGGAAACCTTGAGGATGCTCCTGGCTCCTGGCTTCACATGGGCACAACTCTGGTCATTGCGGCCAATTGGGGAATAATGGAAGACCTCTCTCTCTCTCTGCCTCTCCTTCTCTCTCTGTGTAACTCTGACTTTCAAATAAATAAATCTTTAAAAAAAAAAATAAGTGGAGGCAGGACTCAATCCTAGGCACTCTCATATGGGATGTGGGCATCCTACATAGTTGCTTAACTCACTGCACATAACACCTATCTCTAATGGCTCCTTGCTATGTATATGATAACATCCAAACTCCTGAGTACTGCAAATAGGTACTCCATAATCTGTTCCTCTCATCTTCCGCCCCTTCTCTCATTTTTTCTCACAAGTTTTATCCCTGCAAAACTAATTAAAGTATCTCAAATGTATCCAGTTATATCATACCTTTTGTCTTTGCATCTAGACTGTTCTTCCTTATTTCACTTGAAATATCTCTATTATCACTCCCCGAACTGTACATGCTATTATTTGACATATATTTATCTCCTCTATTAGGATAAGAGAATAGAAGCCATTTCTTCTTTATTTTTGAATTCCCCAGAAAAGTAAAGTATCTGGTACACAATAAGCATTCAACACATGTTTGCTGGGTTAAGTGCTCCGGATAATAAAGTCTGAGCTCTGGATCAATCAGCTGTCCTTGTCTTCTAGTTGCTTGCATAATTCTCAAATCTCCCCACATTCTTCTTACAGAGACCCTCTTTACCTTGATCTTATAATCATCTCCTCCAGAGACGAACAGGGGCTGTTGTTTGTGGAAGTCAATGCCTCGCACGGGACCTGGGGAAGAAGGCAAACAGTGTACGTTAGAGAGAGATTCCTTCTAACATCTAACAAATTCCTGTTCAGGATTTTTCTGTTCTGTTCCTTTCATATTCTTTAGTCTCAAAGGATTCCCATATCAAACAAGGATTAAACAACCACAGGAGACAATAAATACTCAATCTCCCGTTTTTAAAATTGTATTTATTTGAAAGGCAGACAGGCAGAGATGGAGACAAACAGAAAGAGAGATCTTTCATCTGTTGGTTTACTATATGGGTGGCAGGGATCCAAGTACTTGAGCCATCACCTGCTGCCTCCCAGGGCAAGCATTCGCAGAAGCTGCAGTGGAAGCATAGCCAGGACTCAAACCCAGACATTCTGATTTGGGCTGCAGGTGTCTCAAGCAGCATCTTTTTTTTTTTTCTTTTCTTTTTTCTTTCTTTCTTTCTTTTTTTTTTTTTTTTTTTTTTGACAGGCAGAGTGGACAGTGAGAGAGAGAGAGAGACAGAGAGAAAGGTCTTCCTTTTCCATTGGTTCACCCCTCTATGGTCGCTGCGGCCGGCGCACCGCGCTGATCCGAAGCCAGGAGCCAGGTGCTTCTCCTGGTTTCCCATGTGGGTGCAGGGCCCAAGGACTTGGGCCATCCTCCACTGTACTCCTGGGCCACAGCAGAGAGCTGGACTGGAAGAGGAGCAACCGGGACAGAATCTGGTGCCCTGACCAGGACTAGAACCCGGGGTGCCAGCGCCGTAGGCGGAGGATTAGCCTATTGAGCTGCGGCACCAGCCCCTGCACCAAATGCCCACTCTCTTGTATCTCTTAACTCTCTCCTATCTTATTATCAGGGCTGGTGTTGTGGCACAGTGGGCTAAGCTGCTGCCTATGATGCCGGCATCCTATATGGGTGATGATTCATGTCCCTGCTGCTCCACTTCCAATTTAGTTCCCTGCTAATGTGCTGTTGTGGCCATTTGGGGAGTTAGCCAATGGATAGAAAATTTCTTTCTCTCTCTGTCTCTCCCTCCCTCTCTGTAACTCCACCTTTCAAATAAATCTATAAATCCAAAAAAAGGAAGGAAGGAAGGAAGAGAGAGAGGGAGGGAGGGAGGGAAGAAGGAAGGAAGGAAGGAAGGGAGAGAGAAAGAAAGAAATTATCTTACCATCATGTTCATCAAACTTGTCAATGAGGGTGCACATTCGGTAGTCCCATAATTGGATGACCCCATTGTGTAAACTTGTCAGGATCCAGGGTCTTTTGGGGTGAAAACTGAGCCCTGGAATAAAACAGAAAACAATAAAATAAGCTAATAACCCCTATGATGTCACCTTCTGTCAATTCTGATAAGAAAAAGGAAATGCTAAGCTAATCACAGGTCCATACATTCATTTAATATGCCAGTGCTTTTTATTAGATGTTAAACACTGTGAAAATTATAATGTTAGATGTTGGGTTTTTGTTAATATTCCTTCAAATACTGTTGAGTTTTATTCTACGATGCAGTTAAGTTACCTGGAATCAGATGATCTTTTTGAGGCTCATTTTTTTAAGTTTTGTTACAGGGGTCCACAACAGCCTTTAGACTGGGACTAATTTGAAATCATTCCAAAGATAATACTAATCCTTTGGGCTCTGTATGTTACACTGAAACATCAGCTAATCTTTCTATCCCAGTTAGTAGGAACACAAACTATTTCCAGTCCTGCATGAGCGCCATGGATTATTCTGCCTTACTCCCTACCAATTGTTTTTTTTTTTTTTCTTAAGTTTTGGATAATTTTCTAACATACATGTACAGGTCAGCACTCAGAGGCCAGAGGGGAGCTCCTGCAGAGCTCCAGGGCCGCCTCCTCTTCTCTGGTATTCTGCCCAGCAAAGTCCAACCATGCTTGTTTCCAGGAACTCTACACTCTGTCTTCTCAGGAAGAAGACTTCTCACAGAAGTCTTCCTCCTACCTTCACTGCAGCCTGGGAACTCTGTCTAAGCACTAAACTAAAACAGTTATAGGACTCACCTTGTTTACTTCCCTTCTCTCAAGAATCATTTTCCTGCACTGCTTAATGTCCAACATCTGAAATTTTTCACTTTCTACATTTTGTTCAGTTTTGTCGTTACTTAAGGTAAAATATGGTTCTTATCATGACTAGAAATAGAAGTCCCCAGAGGTAACAACTGTTAATGGGTTGGAGGATATTGTTCTGCACTTTAATAAAGTTCTGTATAAGCACAAGCCTTATTATATTATGAGAATGAGTGTCACATTATAATGTTCTGCAAACTTCTTTTCTTACTTATGGTATGGATATCACCACATTTAGCTACATATAAACATAACCTCATTCTTTTTATAGCTGCAAGGAATAAGGGCCTCACAGTTTTAAGTAAGCCTAGTAATAGGCTTTTAAATTCTTTCCCCCAATTCCTGGCTATTAGAAGCACTTATTGAAGATACTTCTACACATAATCTTGTCTATTTACTGTATTATTGAGTTAGGCTGAAGACATTAAAGTGGGATGGCTCAGGAGTAGAGTACATGCATCTAACATTCTGGTAGATATCGTTTAACTGGAAAAAACTACCAATATACAGTCTCATCAAGTTTAGGAAGGTATCCATATTTTGTACACATTGGTTAACACAAGATGTTATGCTGGTTTTTTGTTTTACTAATGCAAAACCAAAAAAGATACTTTTTTTTGCATTTCTTTCATTATGTGGAGGTAGAACAATTTTCATTATTTGTGGAACACTTATTCTTCTAAATTGTCTATTTTCCCCTTAAGTTGCTTGTTTCCTCCCCTTAACAATTGTAGTGACACTCAGTGGACAGTAACCTTCAAATATTCTGGCACCTTTTCCCCCTCATCTACTGCCCAAAAAGAAATTAGGAGAGGAGAAAACTTAAGGATTGTGACAATCCATTCCAATCACCCACGTCCCAGAAATTCACCATTCCCATAAAACTTAGAACCTGCTCAGAATACAGTCTCACACTGACAACGAGCATTAATTACTCACATTTCACAAATGAGGAAATAAATTTGAAGACATTAAGTAAGTCACCCACGGTCATACAGCTTTTTGCTGAGTGTCTCAGGATTCCAAAGCAAGCCCAATTGACTTCAAACACCAAGTTCCTAACTACTTTGCTATGCTGCATCTATCTATTCCAGACACATTTTCTCCAGGTCTCGGTAGACCTCCCGTCCCTGCCTTTCCCAGTTTAACATTCTGAGAGACTGCTAGTGCAACATCATCATGGGGGTGTCTTCCACCACCGTGAGCACAACTCAAGCTCTAGAGTTGCCAAATTAACAAAAATGCAAGAAGCTCAGTTACATTTGAATTTCAGATAAACCACAATACTAAAAAATTATTTGCTCTGTGACATTCAAATGTAACTGGGCATCCTGTATTTTATCTGGCAACCTTACCAAGCTCAGGTTTTCCCGGGGCTACAGACCTCAAATCCCTATTTCCAGGTAGGAAATAAAGCCCAATACAGGCAATTGGATGTTAAGATGGTGCAAGCAAAGCCTCCATAAGTCAGGGGGCCAGTACTCCCCTCCGAAAAAGTTACTGACTTGGAGCCAGTGACAGCCTGCATCCCCAGAGCCATTCCGAATAACAGGTCACAGGGCCTTGGAGCAGAAGAAAACAAATAGGGCGCGGAGCCACCGGGAAGCGGGAAGGGTAAGGGAAAGACCAGGGAGCTGGACAAATGGATCCTCCGCGGTGCAGGAAACGCTTTACAGGTAAATCAATGCCCGATGAGACACAAGGAAGGCAGGTCTGGAGAACTGCCCGCTAGGCCGAATCTCCCTCCCTCCGTCTTCCCTGGTTCGTCCAGTGGGCCCCACGCAGCCGGCATGTCCACCCATTCTCTCTTCCCCTATAACAGCGCCGCCCCTGACACCCAGCCTCCACGTCTCCCCTTTTCTTCTTCCCTACCTTTGACCCGCGCGCTCTTGGTCTCGAATTTGGTTAGCATCCTTCAGGCCTCCAGCTCCAGCGCCCGATCCCTGAGCCCTGCCACTCCCCGCTGCCCTTAGGACGCCTCCACGTCAGCGACCCTAGGCAGCAGCTCCCGGAAGCTCCTCAAGACACGAACTTCCGGTTTCTGGAGCTCCGGGGCACCGAGACGGCGCCACCGGTAGCCTAGAGAGGCCACTACCCGAGAGGAGGGGAACCGAGGCTTCCGCTCAGCGGAGAAGCAAGATGGCCACGGATAGGGGCGGCTCTGGACCTGGCCCGGGCAGTACGGGTCTTCTTTTCCTGTTGTCTTTCTGCGTCCTACTGGCAGGTGAGGCCCCCTCGCCCTTGAGCTCCGCCGTGTGAGGGGAACCCTTCGGACCTGTCCAAACGCGAGCGCCGGCGTCTCCCTTTTGGTCCCTTCTGCCCCTCTGTCCCCCCACCCTGTAAATCCTCTTTCTCTTTCGTTCCCACGACAGAAGTTCCCCCTTTGCCTGAACCTGTAGGTCCCTTCTCCACTGCGGCACGTCGTGTCGCTTCATTACCTGCTCCAGGCTCTTCCTGGACTTCCAGCCCGCTTTGTCCGGTGCCTCAATTCCCTACAGCCCAGCCACCCCACTCATAACCAAAATGTGCAGGTGTGAAAGTTTAGCTTCCTTCCCTGCGTTTAGACTTTATTCTAAAGATGAAAACAGCCTCGTTCTGTGGGTGCTGTGCACGCTTAAAAGGTAGATCATTTCTTCTCTGTTGATTACGCCATAAACCCCTGTCTCAGTTTCTTTCATTAGTGAAGGGAGGCTAGGGTAGGGTGTGGGAACTCTTAACTGTTGAGAGTCCGAAGTATTGACTCGAGGAACTTTAAGCCTTTATAGTGTGGGTAAATGTGCTTACTTTCCGATATATGGCTTATTTGTTGGTTGAGCCCTAAAATGAAAACATGGCTGTATATAATCAGGACTGTGCCTTCCCCAGCATTCACATGTGTTTTAAGATCCCTAAAGGAGAAGCTACAGCAGCCTACACTGTGGGCACATGCAAATGACCTACTGATGTTAGATTAACTGACAGGTGTGTGACATAGATGTCTCCTAATTCTGTTCTGACTCCTGGGAAAAAAAAAATCTCATTTTTTTTCATTATTGTAATCTGTACTCTTAGACCAGCACCCATGTAATATGCATACAGGATAGAAAAGTGGAAGGGTGCCCACACATACAACCAGAAGCTGGCACATCACAGGGTAAATACCCGTCCTTTGACAAATCAAGTTTTCTCTCTTTTAGCTTCACCAGTACTTCCTCTACACGGAATATGTTGTAATCTTCTGAAGCAGTTAGCCGGATGCCGGATGCTTGGTAGAGCATTTATGTGCTCCAACAGGGTGCCCAAGAAGTGAGAGTGGATGCTAGTTTTGTGTTTCAAAGTACGACATTGAATGATTTACCCATTTCATACATACATCAAGAATATGACATGGTAGAAGCTAGTACCAGTGTCTCTCAATTTCTTTTAACACTTTGTCTTCTCATCAGGTTTGTGTGGGGGAAACTCAGTGGAGAGGAAGATCTACATCCCCTTAAATAAAACAGCTCCCTGTGTCCGTCTGCTCAATGCCACTCATCAGATTGGCTGCCAGTGTGAGTTGAGTTGGGGTTTGTGTTTGTGGCCGTTGGTGTTTCAGTCTGTGCCCTGCTTAGGAGTCTAAGCACTCAAATTAGATGTGAGTAGAAGATAATAAAGAAATATCCGTCAAACCAGGCAAGATAATTAACAAACAGTAAGTTTTAAGAAAATTCTGTATACCAAACATTTTAGATATGTACTTCAACCAACCCACCATGAGAACCTGAGCACCATTTTGCAAATTCTGAAACCCAGACTTAAAGAAGTTCAGTAATTGTTCCAAGGTTATTCTGGAGTAAAATCAGGATTTGAACCCTGGCATCCCAAGTTCTAAGCCAAGACTCTTTAACTACCCTACTATACTATTTTCCAAGGAGAAAGAAGTCTTATATTCCATGAAGTCTAGTCATCAGCTGCACTCTGACATCTTTCTGGGACCAAAATGGGCTTTTTTTTTAAGCAGCCCTTTTTTTAAAGATTTCATTTAATTATTTGAGAGGTAGAGTTACAGACAGTGAGAGACAGAAAGGTCCTCTCTCCACTGGTTCACCCCTCAAATGGCCATAAATCGTCGGAGCTACACCAATCTGAAGCCAGGAGCTTCTTCCAGGTCTCCCACGGGGGTCCAGGGGCCAATGGACTTGGGCCATCCTCCACTGCTTTCCTTGGTCATAGCAGGGAGCTGGATGGGAAAGAGGAGCAGCTGGGACTAGAACCGGCACACTATGGAATGCCAGCGCCACAGGCGGAGGATTAACCTGCGCCACAGTGCCGGCCCCCAAAATGGGCTTCTTAGAAATAGTAAACTAGGGGCCGGCATTGTGGCACAGCAGGTTATGCTGCGGCTTGCAATTCCAGCATCCCACATTTGAGTGCTGGTTCCAAGCTGCTCTACTTCCAATCCAGCTCCCTGTTACTGTGCCTAAGAAGGCAGCAGGTGATGGCTAAAGTACTGGGAGTCCCAGCCACCCATGTGGGAGACCAGGATGGAGTTCCTGGCTCCTGGCTTTGTCCTGGTCTAGCCCTGGCTGTTGCAGGCATTTGGGGGAGTGAACCAGTGGAAGGAAGATCCATCTCTCTCTGCCTTTCAGGTAAATAAGTATATCTTTAAAAAAAAAAAAAATAAAAAGAAAAGAAAATGTCTGGAATGGTTGGCAGGTATCAGGAATTCGATAAAAAAAAAAAAAAGCAATGAACTATTTGAAGAATAAGCATTGAAAATGAAGTATTCAAGTTTATCTTGTGCTTTGTAAATGTGTTCCAAAATAGATTGCCATGATACTGTGATTCTAAAACAACTATCAAAATCACAGTGAGGAAAAAGTTATGATCTGAAGACCAAATCCCAGTTTTTCTGTTGCTTAACTTGCTGTTGTCATATTTTGTTCTTTCATGAACAGTAGAGAGTAGTTTGTGTTATGAATATGTTAATTGTCCCATCTTCCTGCTATAGGAAGCACTTGACCAGGTTTCTACTCTGGGTTTGAGGGTGGTGGAGACCCAAGTCATCCACGTCCAATGCGTGCTGTCAGATTGCTGGTCTTGCTAGAACCTCACTATCAGCGTCAAAGGCCAGGCACCGTGCTCTTGGAGCTGGACTCCATGCAGGGCCCTGTTGAAGTGAGTCATCCTGCTGCATGTTCTTTGAACAGCCCCGTGGGAAGTGAAGCAATAGCCTCTAGAGACTAAAGCCAGGAACCAATACAGAGAGACAAGAGGGGAGGGGCTGGACTCTGGCCGTTTCCTCATGAAGCTCTTGTTTCCTTTCCAACCTGTTTATGTTTTATTTCTAAGTCTTATTTGGTCAAATCTGTCTGTTCTGAGCAAACTATACCCTGACAGCATGATAAAACGAAGGAGAAAAAGTGAGACCCAGATTGGATTTTCTGGTTGTAATGACCTGCTTCTTTCAGACTCTTTAAAGTGCTCAGAGGGAGCTGTATGTGTTTCTTTTCCCCTACTCCCTTGCTCCCTGCTTCCTTCCCCACTGTGCCATGTGAGTAGAGGCGGAAAAGCTGCGCCTCATGAAAGGCCCAGCGAAGGCACGCACAACTGAAGACTGCGTAGTCGCCACCTGGAACCCAGGTTTTTCAGTCCAATATTGTAAATTCTTCCTTCCTTCCTGGAGCTGAAGTTATGTATTTTTTTATTTGCATACCAGTTTTTCCATATCCCATGTTTTAAATGCCATGACAAGGACTGATATTTTTTGTTTTACCCAGAACATCCAGTGGTATCTGGATATTATCTACAGTTGTTCCAGACTCTGATAGTCCTCAAAATTTTATTGTTAGAACCGTCCATGTAAATTTAATTATCTCTGTGTTTAGACCACAGTTAAATGTCGGGGCCTTGCTCTCCCGTGTGCAAATTCCCAGTGGCAGGTATTTCAGTGCTGTGGTCTAGAAGCACGGTTCTCGTGGCTGGCTGTTTAAAATGAAGGTTTGGTTTTCACAAAGGAAGATTCAAAACTAGCACTGCAAGCTAGAGACATACAGCCTCACATCTCCAGTGGGAAATACAGGTTGGAAAACTTTGGTGTCAGTTTTTTTTTAAGATTTTTATGTTTTTTTTTATTTATTTGAAAGGCAGAGTTAGAGAAGAGGAGAGACAGAGAGATCTTCCATCTGCTGGTTCATTCCCCAAATGACCACAATGGTCAGGGCCGGGTCAGGCTGAAGCTAGGATGCTGGAGCTTCTTCCAGGTCTTCCACGTGGGTGCAGGGGTCCAAGGCTTTGGGCCGTCTCTGCTGCTTTCTCAGGTACATTAGCAGGGAGCTGGATCAGAAATGGAGCAGCCACGACTTGAACTGGACGCTGTAGACGGTGGCTTAACCTGCTGTGCTACGGTGCCAGCCCTGGTGTCGATTTCTTCCTCAATGTTGTGTATGTGACTGATGTGGTTGAGAGAAAAGGGAAAGAAAATGAAGATCACAGAGCCTCTGTGGTATTTCGTGAACAAGGGTTGTAATGTGTTCTCTGGGGCCTATTTGTCCTCCACTCCCTCCCGTTAACCTGATGGAGCTGGGACAATTCAGCTTTGCGCTGAAGTCCAAAGATGACTGTATTCATCCAGATAATGTTGTTTCATCTTTAGGGTTAGAATCTGTGAAGGCAAAGTCAGAAATGTCAACCGTAGGAGCTTTAATTGGACCTTTTCTGTCCCTGCAGCTTCAATTAGTGGAGACACAGGAGTTATCCACGTTGTGGAGAAGATGGAGGACCTGCAGTGGGTGTTGACCGATGGCCCCAACCCTCCTTACATGGTTCTGCTGGAGGGCAACCTCTTTACCAGGTAAGACCTGGATGTGCCTGCTAGGAAAATACCTTCACAGAGGGAAACATTGAGTGACACCAGTGTGAGTAAAAGCTTCCCTTGGCTGCCCTGGTCTGGTCAGGGGGAGGTGCAGGAGTGGCTCTCGGAAGGAATGAGCACCATCAGAGGCAGTCATCTCCGTGACCTAAAAAAAGAGCTGGGGGTGGGCGTTGGGCACAGCAGTTAAGACATCACTCAAGATGCCCACGTCCTGTATTGAAATGCATGGGTTCAAGTCCCAGCTTTGCTTCCTGTTCCAGCTTCTACTAATGTGCTCCCTGGGAGACAATGGGATGGTTGGGTCCCTGCCACCTATAAGGGGAACCCAGATTGAGTTCCCAACTCCTGGCTTCAGCCTGACCCAGCCCCAGGTGTCGTGGGCATTTGGGGATTGAGCCAGCAGATGGGAGATCTCTGTTTCTCTGCCTTTCAAAAAATTTTTTAAAAAGAATAATTTAAAGCCGGCGCCGTGGCTCAATAGGCTAATCCTCCACCTTGCGGCGCCGGCACACCGGGTTCTAGTCCCGGTTGGGGCGCCGGATTCTGTCCCGGTTGCCCCTCTTCCAGGCCAGCTCTCTGCTATGGCCAGGGAGTGCAGTGGAGGATGGCCCAGGTGCTTGGGCCCTGCACCCCATGGGAGACCAGGAAAAAGCACCTGGCTCCTGGCTCCTGCCAGGATCAGCGCGGTGCGCCGGCTGCAGCGGCGGCCATTGGAGGGTGAACCAACGGCAAAGGAAGACCTTTCTCTCTCTGTCTCTCTCTCTCTCACTGTCCACTCTGCTGTCAAAAGAATAAAAACATAAAACAGATATTTAAAATCAGAATAGAGCTGTAGTGAGTAAAGATTCTAGGGAAGACAGAGGAGTACCAGGGTCACTCAGGGGCAGGAGAGATGAGCCCTGAGTTCAGCTTGGACCTTAGTCTGGAATCAGAAGTTAGAGACTGGCAAAAGGAAGAAATGAGTTGACAGTTCT